CCACCACCACCACCACCACCACCACCACCACCACTGCCCGGCAGGGTTTCTTTATGTAACAGCCTGGCTGTCCTGGAACTTGCTTTGTAGACCAGGCTGGCCTCGCACTCAGAGATCTGCCTGCCTCTGCCTCCCAAGTGCTGGGGTTAAAGGCGTGCACCACCACCACCTGGCATACGGCATCACTTCTTTCTTTCTTTCTTTCTTTCTTTCTTTCTTTCTTTCTTTCTTTCTTTCCTTCCTTCCTTCCTTCCTTCCTTCCTTCCTTCCTTCTTTCTTCCTTTCTTTCTTTCTTTCTTTTTGGTTTTCAAGACAGAGTTTCTCTGTGTAGCCCTGGCTGTTCTGGAACTCTCTCTGTAGATCAAGCTGGCCTTGAATTCACAGAGATCTGCCTGCCTCTGCCTCCTGACTGCTGAGATTAAAGGTGTGCACCACCACATCAGGCATACAGCATCATTTCTAACCTGACATCTGTCCTCATCTCATAAACTTTTAGAGTAGAGTGCTTACCTAGCATGCATGAAGAAGCCCTTGGTTCTATTCCCAGCACTTCATAAACCTGGCATGGTGGCAAATGCCTCTCATCCTAGCACTCAGGAGTTGGAGGCAAGCAACAGAGATGTACCATGTTTCCTCATGCCTATCCTTAATGCCTTGTCTGAGTTCTGTGCCCTGGCCTAGTCCCTGGTACTACCCTCTGCAGGTGGCTGAGATCCAGGTTGAGATGGAACTTCGGGATGAGATTTTGCCCAGAGCCCAAAACATCCAGAGTCGCCTGGACCAAAAGACCATCGAGACAGAAGAGGCATGAATGGCCAAGCCTGGGGTGGGAACAGGCCTTAGAGCTTTTTTCAGCTTCTGCTGCCCTGACAGTTCCTTCCTAGTTGGCAGTAGCTTTTCTTTCCTCTTTCTGCAGATTTAGGCTCCTTTCCTCTCACACTGTCCTCTACTCACTGCCCTGGCACTGTCCCCTCAGGTGAATAAGACACTGAAGGCAACACTTCAGGCTCTGCTAGAGGTGGTGGCATCAGAGGATGGGGACATGCTGGACTCTTTGCAGGCCAGCCCCTCCACTGAGTCCCTCAAGTCCACAAACTCAGACCCGGGCACCCGACAGACAGGCCGAAGACGGAGCCAGCAGCAGGAGACAGAGACCTTCTACATTACGGTGGGGCTGGACAGGTGGAACAAGGCCACAAAGGGCAGCAGAAAGGAGGCTGAGTTGAGGTTCAAACTAGAGACTCTTCTTTGGGTTTTCCAGAAGCTGCAGGAGTATCTGAGTGGTCGGAGCATTCTTGCCAAGCTGCAGGCCAAGCATGAAAAGCTGCAGGAAGCCATACAACGAGGTGGGTCCTGCTCCAGGTACACCCTCTCTAGGACCCAAAGCTGCCCCTGTCCTCCTCCCTCTGATCTGATCCATGCTCCTCCTTGACCAGAGAGGTTGTTTGGCATGCAGGGACTAACCAAGCATAGGTACTGACTTCTCTTCTACCCCTTGATCCTTTTACCATCCTGAGCTTTCAGTCCAAGCCTCCTCTCTCTGGGGTTAATTGAAGATCCCTAGCCTGAGAGACAGACCAATATTTTCTCCTTTCCAGGTAACAAGGAAGGGCGAAAAACATCTTGGTGAGTCCTTGATGAGGTACTGGAATATATAGAGGTCCCCATCTCCCTATTCTTACTGTCTAGCTCTAGCTCTACTGCCAGCACCCTGTGACCTGGCTGGCTTAGGGATGGGAAGACTTCTCCATGGCTTGTTCCCCTAAGAGGAAGTTCCCATTCTTTTCAGGACCCAGTGCACAGAGAGAAAATTCCACAAGAGCGTCCATCCCCTTCCTAGCTCCCAGTGTAACCAGAGACTCTTTGGAGGTGATCTGGAGAAGTTTATCCGGGTATTTGCTTTGCCCCACACTCCAACTCATTGGAGGCCATCCCTGTCCCTTCTGGTCTTTCTCTAGCTTTGGTGGCCCAAGCAACTGCCTAATCCCAGTGTTCTCTAGTCCCAACCTTCCTGGGTGGAGCTCAAGTGCCTCTTCCTATGCAGGCCATTTGCCAGTGCCGCTGAGGTCTCCCTGGGCTTCCCAGTGTCCTGTACACAATTAAAGGGAACTATTTTTTTTTTTGTTACTGTTGTTTGCTTTTTGGTTTTTAAGACAGATTCTCACTCTGTAGAACAGGCTGGCCCCAAACTCACAGAGACCTGCCTGCCTCTGTCTCCCAAGTGCTGGGACTAAAGACATGTGCCACCACCACCTAGCTTTAAAGGGAACTCTTAAACTCAGAAAACCTGGAGCTCCAGGAATTGGGTTCAATTCCCAGTACTCACATGGCAGCTCATAACTGTCTGTACCTCCAGTTCCAGGGGATCCGACACCTTCACACAGACATGAATGCAGGCAAAACACCAATGCACATAAAATCTTTAAAAATTAAATACATACTTGAAAAGAAAAAAAGAAAAGAAAACCTGGGGCTGCAACATTTTTAGGGATAAGATGTCCAGAGTTCCCCCCCTGTGATTAGGATCAGCACAAGATGCTTATAGGCCATACTTCTAGCCCGTATGGCCTTGACAATTCTAAACAGCAAAAAAAGGAATGCAGTGGAGATCTGAAAGAGCCAGGTGTGGCGGTGCAGCCTGTAATCTAGCACTTAATGGTTGGAGGCAGGAGGATCAGGAGATCAAAGCTAGCCTCAGCTACATAGCAAGTTTTAGGCCAACCTGGGGTTAATGAGGTGCTGTCTCAGACAGAAGGGAAGCAAAATAACAGTATCATTTGCAATTGTGCCATTATGTACCTAGAGTATTCATAAGAATCAGACCATTTAAATGAGCAGATATAAGTTTTGCAGTGTTTTGACTGAAAGTCAACACCTGGATTTTGATTGCCTTATTACAGTTGCAACAATTTACAAATAAAAGGTAAAGTGATGGCACCAGCAAATCAGTTTCTTCATGGAGATTCCAATAAACTACACTATAACACTATTAGGAGAAAAGTGATAGAATGACCATAGGACTTGCTGTGTCCTAGTGAAATAAATGTGGTCTCTCTCCCCAGAGCTCAGGCCAACCTGTGCCCGCTGTGGTGGAGAGCTGTATCCGTTTCATTAACGTCCATGGTAAGTGTAGCCTATCTTCTGCCACCCTGGCACTGGGTATTTGTGAGAGAAGGGATTCTGCCTATCAGCTCCTTGTCTTCCATAGGCCTGCAGCATGAAGGCATCTTCCGGGTATCAGGTGCCCAGGCCCGGATCTCTGAGATCCGAGATGCCTTTGAAAGAGGTGAGGACCAATGGATAAGTGTGGCAGTGGCTACAGTAGGCACGGGTAACCTCTTCATTTTACCATGTTACTCTCCACAGGGGAGGATCCTCTGAAGGAAGGTTGTACTGCTCATGACCTAGACTCAGTGGCTGGGGTACTGAAGCTGTACTTCCGGAGCCTGGAGCCCCCACTCTTCCCCTTGGACATGTTTAACGAGCTGCTGGCCTCAGCAGGTGAGGCCTGAGGCCAGCTGGGTAGGAGGACCACCCACTAATGCTAGTGGCTACAACTTTACTCAGTCTGCTCTCTTGGGCTGCCTTGACCACAGAACTGGAGGCTGTGGGTGAGCGGGTGGAGCCTGTGAGCCAACTGCTGTCCAGACTGCCCAGACCCGTGCTAGTAGTCCTGCGATATCTTTTCACCTTCCTCAACCAGTGAGTACTTCTGGGGAGCCAGTTGGCTGTTGGGGGTGAAGGGGTCACTAGTGCTGTAGCTCCCTGCCTATGACCTGTGCATTTCTCCAGCCTGACCCAGTACAGCGATGAGAACATGATGGACTCCTACAACCTGGCTGTATGCTTTGGGCCCACACTGTTGCCTGTGCCTGCTGGGCAGGACCCTGTAGCCTTGCAGGGCCGGGTGAACCAGCTGGTGCAGACTCTTATCCTTCAACCAGCTCGAGTTTTCCCACCCCTGACTATGTTGCCAGGCCCCATCTATGAGAAGTGCATGGCACCACCTTCTGCCAGCTGCCTGGGGTATGCTTTGGGGGCTTCTTGGGGGAGAGGGAATTTAGTGGAGGAAAGCCTGCCTTACTCTGCTTGAAACATCAGGGATGGCCAATTGGAGAACCTTGTTGGGGAGCTGGAGTTGGAAGCTGGGACCACAGCTCAGGAGGATGGTGAGGAGGGATCAAGCAGGGAGGCTCTACCCCATCCTTTACCTGTGTACCCACTCTACCCTCAGCCTGACCGTCTTTTCCTGACAGACCAGGAAGGAGTTGTGGAGGCTGTGGCCTGCTTTGCCTACACTGGCCGGACAGCCCAGGAGCTGACATTCCAGCGAGGTGATGTGCTACGGCTGTATGCTCGGGCATCAAGTGACTGGTGGCGAGGGGAGCATGCTGGTGTGCAGGGACTCATTCCCCATAAGTACATCACACTGCCTGAGGGGTGAGTGAGCTGTAGCCCTGGGGAGGGTCACATTGTATCTGCCTTGGATCCCCTGGCCTGTGATGTTCATAGTTGCTTTTTAGCCCATCCTGAGCATAGAGTCTCCAGGCCTTCTTTCTGGAAGTAGCCACTGTCATTCTGACATGATTAAATAGGACTTGTTCTAACCAAGGTTGCTGCCCTCCCCAACCCTAAAACAGAGTCTATAGGCCTGGGTTGCACCCAAGAACAACTATTCCCAACTCCTTTGATGGAGGAAGGGGACATTGACCTCCAAGCTCCAGCCAGGAAGGATTCCAAAGCAAGCCAGTCTTTTCCCTTCCCAGGGATGAGAAGCAGACAGCTGGTGTGCAGGCCACAGCAGAATCTGTGAGCCATCCAGAGGGCTTCCTGACCTCGGAGTTTACCAATCGGTGAGCCAGGAGAAGACAGGCCTTTGGAAAGACCCCTCAGCCCATGTGTGCTGTTAGAAATAGCAAGCACCATGGGTCAGAGGCTACCTGCACTGTTAAGCTTGAGGATGTGGGCTCAGGCTTTGGCCACATGTGATTGGGGGAGTTGTTGCATAAAGGACACTAAGTGTGGCCGGGCGGTGGTGGCGCACGCCTTTAATCCCAGCACTTGGGAGGCAGAGCCAGGTGGATCTCTGTGAGTTCGAGGCCAGCCTGGTCTCCAAAGCGAGTTCTAGGAAAGGCGCAAAGCTACACAGAGAAACCCTGTCTCGAAAAACCAAAAAAAAAAAAAAAAAAAAAAAAAAAAAAGGACACTAAGTGTGGACAGAACAGAGTCATCCTTATTTGTGGCTGGAAGAGGTTCTAGAGGAATTTGGGGACCATGGAGGCTCACCTCTTTCCTTGGCCATACCTAAAAGATGGGCACTGCCAGCTTAGGTCAAGGATTTCCCAGGGTCATTGCCAATCTTCTTATCTATGCCTTGTAGGCTGGAATTAGGCACCCCACCTGAGGCTGTGAGCCCCTCTGGGCACAGACGACACTGTTTGGTCCCCATCTCCCCTGAGCAACATGTGGAGATGGATAAGGTAAGAGCCAGGACTGACTATGGGGCCGGGAAGGGGTGCCTCTTCTACATGGTCTCTGACCTCCCCAAGGTGAAGCTCACTGTTATTGTCCTTGGTCCCAATCCAGGGGCACCTGGTGCCAGCAAGTCAACTCACAATCTAGGGAGGGGCATGGGGACAAGGGGGAAGAGGCGGGGTGGGTGGGACAGGGTTAGGGGCACAGAAGCAGAGATGAGAGAGCAGTAGATCATCAGCCCAGTTGTGGTATGGAACTCACAACACTCTTGAGCTAGAGAGAAGCCAGATTGTTTAGGTTGGTGTGGGCTAGAGGCTCCAGGATAGACTTCAAGGCTGGCACCTAGAGCTAGGCTTAGTTGCTTAGCAAGCCAGGGAGAGTGAAAGGACAGCTGACTGAGGAAGCAAAATAGTCTCAGAACAAGGCTCTGATGAATGCCACAACTTGGGGAGTCCCCTTTATACAGTGGATCCTTTGAGCCCCTATGAACTAAGCAGGAAATCCTTGAAGACAGTTGCTAAGTCTTAGGAAGAGTGTCCCCACTCCTCGGCCTAGGGAGACTAGGGAAGGCTGGTAAACACACAGGAACTAAAGCCTGGCAGCTGGGAGACCCAGGGGAAGACACTGACCCAGGAGTCCCCAGCATGTTGACAGCCCCAGAGACCATAATGGAAGCTGTGATGTCAGCCAGAGAAAGAGTATGGGTGAGAAGAGGGGGAACCCAGGGCTCAGAGGGGCCTTCTCTTCAGAGCCAGACCAAGAAGTTACTGTCTGACAAGCAACACTCAAAGTGACTGGAGGAACATAGTTGGAATGGAGTCGGGGAGGTGGCCTGGAGGCTCAGGCAGTCTCTCCCATGTCCCCTGGAGAAGAGAGCCTGGCTGCGGCTGCGATGTGGTAACCAAGGTCTCAGTTTGGGGAAACTCACTGTGCCCTCCATTTTTCCTTTCTGCTAGGCTGTGGCCCAGAACATGGACGCTGTGTTTAAGGAGCTCTTGGGAAAAGCTGCTGTCCGCCAGGGACATGGGCTAGCATCTACAGCACCCCCCAGTCTAGGAACCCGAAATCTGAAGCCCCTGGCCTGCAGCAGCTTTGGCAAAAACAAAGTTTTCTCCCGGGGCCCCGGGGCTCCAGTTTCCCCCTCAGTCTCCAATCCCCAGGGTCCAGACTCAACTCGCAAGGCGCTCTGAGGCAGCTTCCCTCCAGCAGTCACCAGACCACATCCCCTAGGCCTGTTGCCTCTCCACAGCCCTGCTCTAGGCCTCTTTGAGAAGTAACAAAGGAAGGAGGCTAGAGATAAACCCTTCTGTGCCTTTTCTGGGAAATCTTGGGCTGTGGAAATCTTGGAAGATGGAAGTTGCAGCAATTCATAAAGACCCATGCACTGGTTGCTGTTGTAATAACCTACACTCTGTTTTGTGGGGCTAAACAGGTCAGGTGCAGTACAGCTCTGAGAGCCTACATTGCTAGAGGCCAGATGCCAAGACAGAAGGTTGAACAGCTTCAGCAGCTTCTCTTGGGAAAGAGGGCCCTCTGACATGGCTCGGCCTGTTGTCATTTAGGGACTGCTCACAAAAGTGCAATCTTGGTTGCTCATATCACAGGTTTCCAACCATGTGTATATCTATAGTTGTGGGGGTCCTTGTCTTTATTGCAGCCTCTGTACCCACCATTTACCTGGTCTGAGGAAACCTTTTCCATGTGGAAAATGAATTGCAACTTTTATTAGGAAGATAGGCAGAAGGAATAACAGGAAGTTCTACTAGCCCCATCCTGGTCCTTCCTTCAGCTCCCTGGGACTCCTCTTCACCCACAGGGTATTGCCAGGATAAGACGCACAAGCACCTCTGTTACTGTTCCCCTCCTAGATCTTGAAGCCTCTGCCCCAGTTTGTCCCATGTCCTTTGTCCCATGTCTGGCACAAAGGAGCCAACTTAAGGGTTTCCTTGTAGTCCTGGAACATTCCTTCTTGCATACCTGGGGACAATGAGACCTAGGGAGGACCAAGAACAGCCAAGGTACCCCTCTCTTGGTGCCCCCAGGGCCAACTCCAGACATTCGAGCTACAGTGAGCCTTTGGATGGAAAGAGCCCAGTGAATGCTCAGAAGGGTGTATCCTTGGTCAGAGAAGAGCTGGCCGTGGCACAGGACTCATCTTGATGTCCCAGGCTGGGTGTGATGTGCCTCTGAGCACAGCAAAGCAGGCTACGTAGCTCTGAGGAGACGCTGCTACTGAAGGAAGCATAGATCCAGGGGTTGGTACAGCTGTTAAGGCTAGCCAGCAGCATGAGCAGCACAAAGGGAGGTCCTATGAAGGAGAGAAGAGTCCAGGTTGAAGCTCAGGGTGTCCCTTGCTCACGCTAGCAAGCCATGGGGGCACCACATGTGAACCCACTAGTTGGGCATAAAGGTAGCAAGTGGAGTACTTGGATATGTATGGCCAAGCCCTTACCTCCCTCACCCCCAGCCTTAGCCACACCCACACCCACTTTCCAGTGGAGCCTCTGGGTCCCACGCTGCCCACAGCTGCACAAGGAAGAAGGGTGCCCAGCACAGCACGTAGACAATCACAATCACCAGTGTCATCCTCACAGTCTTGGCCATGGCTGCTGACACATGGGCTCCCTCGATGGGACTGCCTGTCCGGTGCCCTCTGCGGCGCCTCCCTGCTCTCTCAGATGGCCCTGGCACCAGACTGGCATGAATCTCTCGGAAGATAAGAACCTGGCAGGCAGCAATGCCCAGGGCAGGTGCTATAAACACCATCAAGGCAATCCAGGTGACGTAGGCACGAAGGCCCCAGGGCTCTGCAAATCGGGCCCAGCAATCAAACACTCCACTGCCGTTTCCCACATCTCGTTGAGCAAAAATGAAGAGCTGAGGCAGGCTGAGAAGGAGTGAGAAGGCCCAGGCCACCAGCACTGGCCGGTTCCAGCGAGCTCCACCTCCATGGCGATATGCCAGCATAGGGCGGCAGATGGCGCGGTGGCGGTCTAGCGTCATGGCCAGGATCATATAAGAGGAGGCATACATGCCCACCATCTGCAGGTACTTGACGGCCCGACACAGGGCATCAGGACCATGGAAGCGGTCAGTGGCATCCCAGGCCAGCTGGGGCAGCACTTGAAACAGAGCCACAGCCAGGTCAGCTAGGCACAGATGACTGATGAAGACATGCATGGGTGCCCAGCGTCCACGCCGGCCCCGTCGTATTAGGGCTCCCAGCACCAAGCCATTGCTCAAGGCCACAGCCACAAAGACAGTAGAAAGCAGGGCCAGTTCAGCCCGGACTAGCAGTGGGTCTCGGTCATCCAGTAGCTCCTCCTGGCTGCTGTTGCTGGGAGAGCTAGGGGGCGAAAGAGGCCCAGGCACAGCTAGGCAAGGGTGAGAGGGACAAGGGACAAATTAGTGGGGTGCTGTGTATGCTCCCTAGAATGAGGAAGTTCCAATGCTAGGGATGGTGGCCTGTGCAGCTGGTACCTTGAACCCCTTGTTGGTCTTACTGCCCATTTCCTGGCTCCCAGCAAAAGGGACTTCTAAGGAAGTGTGTGGTTTGGGAGGCAGGTAGTGCTTGCCCTTCAACCCCTCCTGACAGCCTGCTACCCATTCACAAGAAGGGAAAGAGGTTCTAGAAAAAGGGCCTTCTCGGCTTCATCCAACCCACCCAGCCCACCTGGCTCATCCAAGCAAGGGTAGCAGAAACCCAGTGGCTGTAACCTTACCAGATATGGTGGACACGAGGAGCATGGTTGGGGTGGCTGCACACTTGTCACGGGGGCCAAGTCAGCCTCCACTCCAGGGTCACTGTACAGGATAGAGGTGCCAGGAGGCAGGTACCTCTCTGAAGGTGCGTTCACAGGATGGAGGTCCAGGCTGTATTTAGGCCTGGGCAGGGAATATAAAGAACAGTCAGACAGAACAACACACAAAACCCAGGTTCCATCCAGGCAGTTCACAAGAGCCTGTGGTGATTAGGCATCAGAGGTAAACACTAAGATTCCCCCTGCCCAAACAGCAGCTTGGGTAGAACCACCATTGGAGGGCTAAGGACTGGACAAGAGAAACCAAGTGTGCTTCTCAAAGCCTTTTTACAGCCCCTTACCTGCTTCAGCTCCTGGGCTTCTGGGCAGCTGGGCAGCAGCGTGAAGGTGGCCCAGTGCTCAGACTGCTCTCCATTGTCGGCCCCGCCCCAACCCAGCCTCAGGGAATGACCTGAACAGGAGACTTCCCCCTCCTCTCCCTCACGCGCCTCCCCTAGCCTCCCGCCTCCCCTGGCCTCCTTCCTCCATCTACCAGGAAGTAAGTTCCTGGCCTCCAATTTCCTTTTCTGCCCCAGGCTTCTTAGGTCAGTCCCCAGGACCACCCTTCTCAAGTCCAGTCCCTATCTTGGTTCAGCAGCAACCTCCATCCTGCCTGCCCCTACCCCACAGGTCCATCTTTCTAGAACATCTGGTATGACAGTGCTGTGAGAAACTATTTAGTACAGCACCTCATCTACTAAGTGGGAAACTGAGGCTGGAGATGGCTGGACCTGACCCAGAATCACTACTTTTTCATGGCAAATCCTTACCTTCTTTACCCAAGCCAGACCCCTTATTTTATCTTCATTTCCTGGTGACAAAGGGCTAAAAGCCTGGGGATGGGAGAACCTCTAAAGACCATTCAAGCCCCTCCTCCTCAATTCGAGTTGGCTGCCCAGAGATGGGGGACAGAAAGGGAAGGAGTGGGGCTAGGGGTAAATCAGAGCTAAATGTGCCCCTATGTGATTCAGCTTCCTCCCCAGGGGCCGGTAGGAGCAACCACCCTTTTCCTCATGCCCCACCTGCAACCACCTGTCCCAGGAGGAAGGCCTTTCAGACTGATCTCCAGTATACGTACCTGTTTCTCTCTCTCTCTTCATACACACACCCTCAAATACATGCTTCTCACAACACGAAGACTCATACATTTGTGCACAAACAGCAGGCTCAGGGATCCAAGTTCCCATGTGAAAGAACCTGAGGAAAGAACTTAGGGACACAGATGTTTAGGACCTTCTATCACCATCACCCACATACCTGACTCCTGCCACCTGTAACTCACCAGCTCCCCCTCCTTCTATGGCTCCCTGTCTGTTCAAGTTAGCTTGGTTTAGTCTCAGGCTATTGCCTGCTCACCCACCCAAGGCCAAGCTTCTTTTTTGTCCGTTTCTTGGTTTTCTTCCCTTGACCTACAAGGCTGGCAACCAAAACAGCACTAGCGTGAACCAGGTCCAGGCCCAGGGACCTTGCCAATGGTCAAGGTTTCCTCTTCCTGCCTAGAGAGTCTGGTGGGGCTCTAGCACCGCCCTGCCCTTGAGACATGGGATGGATGCCTTCCTAAGAGACACAGATGCACACACACCACACCTCCATTCTTTGTGCATACATGCTATGCAGTTCAGACTTCCACATTCCACATATATTACACAGGGACACACATCATCCAATACACACTGCACATATATACACTATCACACACATATATATTGAATGTTTATCATGCTTTTGGGGTCCTTTGGGTTTTGCTATTTTGAGACAGGATCTTCTGGTAAGCCTGGAGCTCCCTAAGTAAATTAGGTGGGCCTGAAACTTGCATGGATCCTCTGTCCTCTGCTTCCTAAGTGCAGATTATAGACATACAGCACCATGCTTTGTTTGTTTGTTCCTTTGTTTTTTGAGACAGGGTCGCTCTATGTAGATCAGGCTGTCCTAGAACTTACTATGTAGACCAGACTGACTTCAAACTTACAGAGATCCACCTGCCTCTGCCTCCCAAGTGCTGGGATGACAGGCATGTGCTACCATGCTTTACATGTTTTTGTTGTTGATTTGTTTGCTTTTTGTTTTTTGAGATAGAGTCTCTCTACATAGACCTGGCTGTCCTGAACTCAGAGATCCATCTGTGTTTGTCTTCTGAGTGTGGGAATTAAAGATGTGCACTACCATGCCACACTTCACTGTAGATTTCTTTTTAAATTTATTTTATTACATTTATTTATGTGAGAGTGGGGGTGTACACCACAGTGTGTATAGGTCAGAGGAAAACTTGTGGGAGTCATTTTTCTCCTTCCACCATGTGGGTCCTGGGAATCAAACTCTGGTTACCAGGTTTGCTGACAGGCATCTTTACCCACTAAGCCATCTTGCCAGCCCATCATTATTACTCATTAATTCACATTAATGTTGAATTAAGTTGAATTCAACTTCACAGTGGAGAGATATCTATGTCCTTTGTGCTTTATTGGTGTTTGTTGATGTTGCTGAATTTTTCATCTGCACTAAAGAAAAGTGGTTTATTGGTGAAATTATTAAGGCCACTCCACGTAGTTAAAAAGGGAGGTTTATTTAGTGGGTAACTTACAAATGAAGGGATAGGTAGGTTGCGGGGTCTGGGGAAGGTGTATTGCAGTCCAATGGTGTTCTCTGGAGAACTCTGCTCGGTCTACCTCCACCTTCCAGGGTCCAGGAACAGAGAGAGTGCTGTGCATCTTGATCTCGGGTCTCCAGGGTCCTCCCTTGGCCCCACCTTATAGGTGTGACAGTTATGGAAGCCTCAATGGGGGTTGGAATTTCCAGATCAAAGCTGGAATGGCTACCCACTACAGTGGTTTATCCTGCTTGGAGATGTAGTGCTCTCTAAATATCAATTAGATTAATTTGCCTGATAATACTGTTCAAATCTATATTCTGACCTTTTTTTCTTTCTTATTTGATCAGTTCCTGAAAAACACATGTTATAGTGTCAAACTGTGTTGGGAGATTTGTTTATTTCTAGAACCCTTTAGAGGGAACAATTTTTACTTCATGTATTTGAGAGATTTGGTATTAAGTCTTGTTATTTGTCCCTTTTTCAATGTCCCTCCTACTTCTGGTAACACTCTTTATGCTGAATTCTACTTTATCTGGTGTTTATAAAGCCACACCAGCTTTTCTGTGCTCCATGCTTGCTTGGTATATCTTTTTCCATACTTTGACTTTCAACATGTATTTATGCTTAAAAGCGCTTCTTGGAAATACCATATAGCTACTTTGTTTAAGGTTGACACTCTCTGCCTTTTAACTGGTGTGTGGCAGATTGTGGCTTTCCAAGGTAGCCCCAACAATCTCTCCATCCCACATGTTCTCCTGGAGCCTTGCCATCTCCCATCAAGAGGTGAAATTTAATACTCACCGTACAATCCAAGTAGGTTTGCATGTTGCATGTAATTAAGATAATCTGCTAAAAGTGCTGCTTGCTTTCTGAGGCTGGGTCAGAAAATTTGAGACATGTGGCTTCTGCTTTATTATCTGTGTACTCACCCATCACAACCATGTTAGCTGCCTAACTTCCCTACCACCCCATGAGAAGACCTGAGCAGTCATCATGGAGAGAGTACAGAGAAGGGCTTACAGAGAGCATAAAGGAGACAAGCCCAGGCAGCTTTAGCTTGCTTCATCTGCAGCCCTGGTTGGACAGCAAGCTTGTGAAAAACCCAGAACTAGAATGATTTGAGTGAACCCCTCCCAAATTCTTTTTTAAAATATTATGGTTGCTGGGCAATGGTGGCTCATGCCTTTAATCCCATTATTCGGGAGGCAGAGGCAGACAGATCTCTGTGAGTTCAAGGCCTGCCTGGTCTACAGAGTGAGTTCCAGGACAGCCAGGGCTACACAGAAACCCTGTCTTGAAAAACTAGAAAAAAATTATGGTTTATGTATTTATTTAGCTGGTATAATATGGGTAATTACAGATATAGTTTGACATTTTAACTATTTAAAATGTTCAGTTCTGTAGTATTAATTGTTTTCATAATGTTTTTGGCTTTGGTGTGTGTGTGTGTGTTTAAATGTTTTGCCTGCATGCCTGCTTTTGCAGCACGTTCATATCTAGTTCCTACAGAGGTCAGAAGAGGGCATCTGATTCCCCTGAAACTGGAGGTACATTGTAGTGGGTAGCCATTCCAGCTTTGGTCTGGAAGTTCCAATCCCCATTGAGCCTTCTGTAACTGTCACACCTACAAGGTGGGGCCAAGGGAGGGCCCTGAAGACTCGAGATCAGGATACACCATTAAATAAATCTCCCTTTTAACTACGTGGAGTGGCCTTAATAATTTCACCAATAGTACATATGGTTGTGAGCCATTGTGTGGGTGCTAGGAACTGAACCTGGGTCCTCTGCAAGAGAGTGCTTTTAACTGCTGAACCATTTTTCTAGCCTGCATTCACAGGGCTTACAGCCATCACTACTGTCATACTAGTCAGAAGCTTTAATCCCCCTGCCTCTACTTGAGATTATAGGAGTGCACTGTTACACAGGGTTTGTGCAGTACTGGGAATGGAACTCAGGACTTTGTACATGATAGGCAAGTACTCCACCAACTGAGCTCCATCCCCAGCTGAGTAGTATTTTGTTGGATTTATCTACTTGGCTGCTGATAGCGGCTTAGTTGCTTCCTCTTTTTGGCTGTTGCCATTTGCTCTCAGGTGAGCTCTATCCTAGCACCTGATGCTGACTGTATAGCAAGTTCCTCTGAATCGAAACATTCCTTCTGAAGGAGGGATGCCCATAAGGCAAACTAAGTAAACTTAGGAGGTTTAGAGCTCAGACAGTGACAAGATTCACAAGACCCTTCTCCAGGATAATGGAAGCTGTAATCAAGTGATGGGGACATTTTTTTTTTCTCTTCTGAAGCTGCCTTGGAATTGTGCAGGAAGCCTCGGGGTTGCAGCTTTCTTTAATCTCATCCA